CTCAAAGAGAGGGTAGTTTCTTTCTTTAGACAATGTAAGGCTGTGTAAGCCTTGGCCATGTAGCTCAGTATCAAGAGGACAGACTTTATCTACCTGCAGAGATCAACAACCTTGAAATAGGCAGCTTATTTTATACTAAATCTTCTCAACATTTGTGAAAATAAAATAGGATATTGACAGTAGATATCTTTTAAAAAAACAATATTTTCAAAATATTCATTTGTAATTATTTTATTAAACAATCATCTTTTACATGTCATCAGACCTTACCCCTGAAGTGCAAAAAAAAAAAAAAAAAACAGTTTGAGGTATTAAAACTGAAGGGACATTTGCACATATATTTGTAAGGTTGTCACACTACAATTACCAGAAAATTCACTAAATACTACATATAACTTCAGGTTTATTTAAATCTACATGAAACAAACATGGTTTATCTCATTATATTTCTGATTCTGCCATTTATGATGAAAGGGTAGAAAAAATGAGACTTAAGTTATTTCCAAAATGATATGTGTCCATTATTCAGTTCTATCAAATGGAGTATAGGATTTAAAAGGTCAACAGCTGAAACAGTAGCCATCCCAAAGCATAAAAATCAAACTGACAAACTAGCTTCAATGATATAATATCCTATTGGTAGAACTTCATCTTCAGATCAATGGCAATTCACTTAAGTTATCTGAGATAGAGTTACCAGAATATTTCAATATTATCCATGTACATATAAGGTCACATTAGTAACAGAGTCAGTTAATCAAATTAACACAGATAAAAGTTCAGAATAGTCACTTCAAAGATAGTTTGAAGTAACACGGAAGAAGAGATTGGCTTTTTAGGTGAGTTAAACATTTTTAATATTGAAGAAATTATTCAGAGACATTTTAGATCCCATTTATTTTGTGTCTACACCATGAAATAGAAAAGTTAAGGCAATTATATAGTTAATTATCATACTATAAACATTTGCCCTGAAATATTCAGGTAAATTGGAGAAAAAGTAGTTTTTGACTTGGTGATTGATTTAATTGTTAACTCAGTGTAGACACTCATGTGAAGGAAATCTAAAATAGTATAATTATTTGCATGTTTCATAGTAAAATAATTCCTGAACAATGGGTCACAAATGTTGAATAAAAATTAATTATTACAGCAATATTTAGTTAACACAGCATTTCTAGTAGCTGCATATGCTAAGTTTGGGTTTTGTCATTGAATTGTTTCATTTGATCATTGTGTGAATAACTTGAACAAATAGAAGGTTGTTGTTTTTTTTATTAAAGTTAAAATTTGGCATTTTTATTTTTTACAAAACTGATAAAGAATCAAATGGTCTCACCATGTACTCTTATAGGAAAATACTGTTTATTCCATGGCAATTATGACATCTATATGAAGATACCTTAAAAAGAAGTCCTCTCTAGACTATTTGGTTTGGCTGGCATAAAAAACTGGGGTAGGAAGGGAGTGCTGGGGTTGTAGCTCAGTTGGTAAAGTGTTTGCCTTGCATGTGTGAGGCACTGGGTTTGATTCTCAGCACCACATAAAAACAAATAAATAAAATAAAGGTGTTGTGTCTGTCTACAAATAAAAAAAGAATTTTTAAAAAAGAGTGGATTTAAAAAAAAAAACCTGGAGGAAGGTCACTTTTTTTTCCCACATAGACTGTAATAAATTTTTGTAAAGTACACTTAATGTAAATTTTCTATTTGTTTCTAGGGGCGGGGAAGGAATATGGCTAGTTAGAAACCCTTATAGGAACTCCAAGCATATGTGGTGGTGACAATGTCCTCTTCCCACAAACATGATTTATTTACTTATGTAATGATTTTTAAATTAAGAATAACATTTGCAGGGCTGAGGGTGCAGCTCAGTGGTAGAGCAGTTGCCAAGTATGTGCAAGGCCCTGCACACAGTCCACAGAATTGCAAACAAGAAAACAAAACAAAATGCAAAAAGAATAACCTTTGCAAGGTTGCTGACTGCTCTAAACACAGCTGCAACAGCTGAATTGTTTACCTGTGAAGAGAGTTAACTGGTGCTGATGGTCTCACATGAATCAAGAGAGAAAACTCATTATAACCTATTCCTTTCCAAGTTAATATGATCACTTAGTATCCTTTGGAAGTTATTTTCATTATTTTCTACACAAATGAATGTCCCAGGTTAAAATACATTTATTTCCCAAGAGTTTGGTTTTTTCATTTGTATTATTTTTTAGTGAACGTTGACAGACATGAAAATCAGCCCCAAACACAGGAGGTCATAAAGTGAATAGTTAAATCTCAGGCATCCAAATTGGACAGTCCAATTAATATATACCCGAAAGCTGGAATTATGTGAAATAAAACAAAAAAACCTGTCATTTTTAGGATCAAATATGCAAATCTAATATCATTGCATTGGGCTTTAATGTGTAGAGGGAAAAATGGAATATATTTTATTTTTTTCTATACCTACCTTTCATTCTTAAAGCAACAACCAAAATAAAATTGAAATGAAATGAAATATGACTGATACTGTGAGATTTAAGTTTTGCATATTTAAAAATTATTGTCATTATGTCCATTGGTGCCATAAAAATAGGGTTGACCATGTTTATAAGTGACAATAGAAATATAATAAAAATTATTTCACTATCATCATGCTGGTAAGCTACACTATGTAATCTATCACATCTACAAATATCAAGTGCTGGGTGTCATTCAACTCAGAAGAACACTGACTGCAGACACACACCATAGTCAGTGAAGCTTTCCCAGAGTTGCACCTGTCATGTTTACTCAAAGACTGGGTTTCTTATGCCATTCAACACCAAACTGGTGGGTCCCTTTCTGTGTAGAAGGGTCAGTGAGCACAGAAGAAGGGAAAAACTCATGACTCCCAGAATGACGATTCCTGATATCAGCGCACTGGTGACGGTGTTCAGCTGGAAGGGAGGCACATCTCGGGAGCCTGCAAGTAACAACAAACAGTTGCAGAGGCCCCATATCATCTATCTCACGTTCCCTCAATCCATACCTGCAAAACATCTGCCACCAACATCTTGTACAATAATAGCAGGACACTAGATTATGCTCTAATCTATTTGGCTATAATTCAACCCAATTCCCAAAGAATTGCATGGGTTAGAGACTGGTATCACAATCAAGAACACCCCCCAAAACTGTAAAATGCTATTAAAATTGACCAGCAGATCACATATGAGTTCAAAACTCCTCAGTCATCTGTCATGTAAAATATAGCAAACCTGTAAAACTAAAGCTCATTACATTTAGTAGCTTACAGTTTTGTAACTTTGCACACAAAAAAAATTAAAACATAGCCCTTTTGTTTATAATACATGTTAATTATCTTACCAAGCTGTGAATTGTTGATTGGAGTCTCATCTGAGGGGGGGAAAAAGGGAAAGAGAAGTGACAAAGTCTCTTTGAATATTTACTTTTGTGAATTCTGACTCCATAAAAACTTTTTACCTACATCTCCCTTGACCTCCACTCACAGGCTGCACCAGAAAGCCCTCCTTAAACCATTCTGCATTTCCATTTTCTGTTCCAAATGTTTTACATTTCATCATCAGTCTATTCCCTGAGCCCATAGCCTGCCATTGCCCTTCGTACACAAATATAATCGCAAAATATATTGTGTTATATTCTTTCCTGCCAACTTTGTTTCATCATTATCTTTCCACTCAGGTTAGTGGGGGCAGTAACTGTTAACAGCTATTACATTTTTTATGGCCCTATAACCTGCCATTTGTTATTCTGTTATAGGGAAATATTCATTATTTAGTGTCACTCTATTTTAAGTATTGCCAATTTGCCCAACATTATCTGCAAAAACATCATTTTAAGTTCCAAGAATATAAATTCACACTTAATAACTAAATGAAAGGAAAACATGACTCCTGAGCTCAAGTTGTAGTTTTATTTGCATCTGCAAAGTACAAGATTGAAGTTGTTGATTTTTCATTTTTTCTTGGCAAACATAATAATAGATGCAATGAACACTTTCATTTGGTTTCTGGATATTTGTAGTCCAATTTGTAATCATTTTGTTATTAACCCTTGAGCTTATATAACCAGTTAATTTCATATTTGTGTTAACATGTGGGTGTATATGCGTCTGTGTGTGTTATTTGAACCACAAAATGTGTGCAGCTGATTGTTTATTTCTGAAGTATAAATATTATCACAATTAATGCATGTGTAATGCCACACATTTTATAAAATGCTACTTCACATGTCATCACAGTTAATCTTCATGATAGCCATAAGGCTTAGATGTTATTGCTACCCCCATTTTACAGATGAAGAGACTTCCATCTGTCACAGTGTCTATGGCAAAGCAAACATATGTTAAGTTAAAGCTTCATTTTAGTCCTTTTTAAAAAATAATGTAAATTGGCCAAGTGTAGAAAATATCTTTGATTATGGAAATCAACACCTCAAGCTATAAACTCCAGGATTAGTATTTGAAGTAATTAATGGGATAACCTGGTGAGATATTTATAAAACTACAATGCAATTTCTTTTCAGATACATGAATCTTGGCAGAAATGATAGTTCTGCTGTTTGATCTTGAAGCACAGTGTACAAAATTAATATGGCACTCATTCATAGGATATTTTAGAATGGTACATTGCTTTGCAATAGGACAAAATAGAAACATAACACATATATTCATTATAGGACACCCTCAGGAAGGTCTTAACCTCCAACCAACACTACTTTATAGAGACCTTTCTTCTCATGGAAATATATGGAATGAATGAACTATGATCAATTCATCCAACAAATTTATATGTTCTTTACACAAGATAAGCTGCTTTACTTGAACAGGAGAGACTATATAATGCCCCAAATTTCTGTTTTAAAAGTTTTCTTCTTTTGTTAAAATAAATCTCACTTAATTATTTTTAAAATGTTGTTATTAAAGAATAGAAAGCACCTCTCTACTAAGAGTCTCAAATAAGAAAAAAGTATTTTGGACAGGATCCCCTAATGTTTTCTACATCCTGAGGTTAATACTAGTCAGACTGTCTCCTCTACTCCACAAATTACTGTCACCATCTATAGGAACAATAGCCTAGATGTCACCCACGAGGACTATGCTTTGGACAAAATCTTCCTGTGTGCTGGGACAGGTCAAATGAGCACACTGGTTTCAGGTTTCACAAGTGAAAAACTAAAAGCATCCAACCACTGGCAGATGGTCAAAATCAAATAATATAGTATCAGAATACAGTTTGAAATTGTATTCAGACATAGGGAATTGTTACATCTGGTTGCTGTTTTAGACATTCTCGAATGTTTTCATCATCATAATAAGAGACATGTCCAGCCCAGAAAGGGTAGGTAGACATTGCCTAGGAGCCTCTTGTCACCACACTCTTCAGTTTTCTCTCATACTTACTTGGTCTTGCCAAGTGCATATATGCTAAAAGGAGCACAGGAAGGCTTCTGGAATTAGAACAGATGGGAATACTAAGCTTGATAAGCTCTTCAAAGAATACTATCTGAGGATTCACAGGAGAAAAGTAATCGCAGCAATGCCGTAGTTGTTGGAAAGCCAGATATGGCAAAGTGTCATTCTCTGCTCTCATATAAAAAGTTAAGATAAATGAAAAATACAATAAATATCACTCCCTTCTTATCTCTAGCAAACTATTTGTTTTAAATCTTTTAATGTAGTAAAATGAACCATCTATTTTAAGT